TATATATGTATATATAAAAAGGGTGTAGAAAAGGCTAGAAGAATTATGGACTCTTGGTTATTATGAAAAGACAATATAATGGCGGGTTGATTAAGGTAAGGTGTCCAAATATATTATTATTTCTTACACCATGTTTTGTAATTTTGTGTTTATTTTATTTTCGTTTATAGTATCATAAAAAAACTTTTTAATTTTTTTTTTTAATTTCATTTTTAGTTTGGTTGTGTGTGACATATAGGGATTATTTTAGGAAATAATTAAATTAAAATTCTAAATTATTTGTTTTCTCGAGTGAATTTCTTAAATTTGTGATACGTGCACGGGACAACTAACAATAAAGTCACGTGACATGTCGTAATTTTGTTTGATTTGGCAAATATATTACGACCGAAAAAGTCAAATGAACGTATAATTTTGAAGGGGCATTTTTTTTAATGAGAAGCTAGGTATTTAACGAATTGGCGATATTCGAGGGGATGTGTTTAGCACGTGGAGAACTAATATTTTTTCCAGCTCGATCTCGCTATTAAAATTTAAGAAAGCTTTTATTACTCAATTATTTATCGAAAAGTCTAATCTAAGTTTCTGAGCGTTTTTTAATTGCAAAGTCAACTCACAAAATTAATTATAAAATTGTATTTAATAATTTCAAATATATGATTGGTCAGATATAATATATTTATAAGTCATAAAACTAATTATAATTATTTTGTGAATATGTTTTATGTTTTTTTTTTTTTTTGGGTATAAATTCTTATTTTGTAATATCATATAGTTTAATAATTATATATATATTAATAATTAGTTAATTTTATTTCCTTAAAACAAAATCTGTTGGCTGCGTGCTTCACAGTTTTTGTTTAACTCGGATTGGTCAACTAACTTAACCACACTTCTCTCTCCTCTCCATCTTTTTCATTCCTTGTCCACGCGCCTATACTCTGTGTTGGAGACACGTAAAAAAATGATTGGCTTGTGGTAATACATCGCCGAGAAAGCGCGTGGGAATGATTGAGAACATTAAACCACTCAACTCCATGGGAGAATCCGGCGCCGAAATTGAGGCGGTTGTCTCCGCCGCACATGACTTTGTCTATCACTTTCCTTCCGAACTCCGATTCCAACTCCACGCCGTCACGTAACCCAACTACATGGTCAACTCAACTACCCCTAGTTAACGACATTTTATATTCTGCCTGCGTCCGCATCATTTTCTCGTGAACCCCCATTACATCAACCGTTCGATTTCCTCACCATGACAACCCATAATATAATATATATATATATTACCAAAAATGTCCTCATCATAAAATTAAAGTAATAAGAAAACCCCCCACCAATAAATAAAATATTATGGACTAAGCCCACCTTTTTATACAATTACGAAAAATAATTTTTTTTTTAATTAATTAAAGGGCAAAAAAGTCAAAGCGAAGTAAAGAGTTTTGGTACAATCATTTATGATATCAGGAAGCCGTCCAATCACTTCTCCATCACCACACACACTTACAGATAAGATTTATTGCATTATATTTATTCATTTATTTTTTTTTAAAATAAATCAATCTAAAAATAAAATTTAATCATACTAACTAAAGTAATTAAATCATATCATAATAGATTAATTTGTCCCAATTTTTTTTTATAATATAAAGTATTTGTCGCAGTTGGATTAGCGTTTTAAAAAAATTAAGTGACGATAAATATTAAATTATCAGATAACATATAAAATTGAGGATTATTTCAAATTTTTAATAAATTAATTCAAAATGTTAGGTCAATTTGATATATAATTTAATATTTGAAAATCTAAAATTTATGGTAAAAAAAAAATTTGAACTTGTTTGACACGTAATTAATAGATGATTAGTTTAATTAATGGATCATTATTGAACTTATAGAAATAATCAAATAAAATAATAATTTTATTTGTCTATTTAGCTGTTCATTTTATTAAAAAAAAATATTTAAATATTATTTTAGTCTTTATATTTTAAATTCTAATTTTTATTATTTAATTTTAATAACTTTTGAAATAAATTTTTTTTTATCAAAATTTATAAATAAATAATAATTTATAAACTAACTTGCGTGAATTATATTTATGATTTAGTAAATTAAAAATGACATGGCAAAATGAGGCTGGACCCACAACGTAGAAACCGACACCTGCCAGTGAACTCGAAGGACACGTGTCAGTAATTGGCATCGTGTCATTGTTTGATTGGTGGCGGTGCCTTGGATACAGTAGATTGACGTCATACACAGAGTGAGGAGTAGATAGGACTAAGAGAAGGGACAAGGAGTTTATTAAAATAATAAAAAAAGAAAATGAAGCTAATTAGAGTAAGTTAATTGAGATTAAGAAAGTGATTAAGAGAAGTAATTTTGGGGCCGGACTCTTATAAAACCCAAGGGTTGCCTGAGATCGTGAATCAGAGTGAGACCGAGCGAAATTCGAGAGAAATTTCACTGACTGTGTTCTTGTTTTCGATCTTCTTCTTCTTCAATCCCCCCTCTGTAATCCCCGCTTCTCTGAATCCCTTTCTGTTAATCATCTGTCTTTCAGTTTCTGATTTTTGAGTTTGTTTTAGAATGATCCGAAAGCAAACTTGAGAAAAAAGGTTTGTCGAAAGCGCAGGTGTTTTCCAGAATCGAGATCCAGTTTTTTTAAAATTTTTGGACTAATTTTTCCCTAGATCTGTTTGTAAATCTGTTTTTTCGCTTCATTTCGTTTTCCAGATCGACTTCCGAGGGTTGTTTTTGATCCCTCTTGGAGTTTGAAGGGTTGGTTATTATTATAAACCATATTCTGCGTAGAAATACTTGTTGATTTCATCGTGTTCTTCTTGTTAGTTTTGAATTTGGTAGAGAAGTTATGGCTGCTTTGATGGATTTGTATGGTTGCAGAGATTTTCAGTCAGATCCAGTTGGTGGTGAATTAATGGAAGCGCTTGAGCCTTTTATGAAAGCTGCTTCCTCTTCATTTTCTATTCCCGATTTCTCTTTTTCATCTTCGATCCAAACAGAATCCACTTCTTACTCCTCCGATTGTTCTCCTCCGATGATCCATTTGTTTTCCAGTCAAGACTTCCATGGATTAGAGCAATCAGCCTCCATCGGACTTAATTACTTGACGCCCTTTCAGATCCAACAGATTCAATCTCAGTTTGCTCTCCAGACACTGATCCCGCCAGTTTGGGGACAGATTAACAACCAGGTAGTGAGAAATCAGAGGAACGGCGGGAATTTGTTAGCACCGAAGGGGATTTCCATGAAGCAAGTTGGATCTCCACCGAAATCGACGAAGCTTTATCGAGGCGTAAGGCAAAGGCATTGGGGAAAATGGGTGGCCGAGATCCGTCTACCGAGGAACCGAACTCGGCTATGGCTCGGCACCTTCGATACCGCCGAAGAAGCCGCTTTAGCCTACGATAAAGCCGCTTACAAGCTTCGAGGCGACTTTGCTAGGCTCAATTTCCCTCATCTCAAGCACCATGGCTCCTCCGTCGGCGGCGATTTCGGCGAGTACAAGCCGCTTCACTCCGCCGTCGACGCGAAGCTTGAAGCCATCTGCCAAACCTTGGCGGAGTCGCAGAAACAGGGGAAATCAAACCGAGCCTCATCGAAGAAATCGAAATCATCGAGTTCTTCAACAGTCGAATCAGAGTGTGAGACGCCGACGGTGATTGATCCCGACGAGAATCTGAGAACAGAGGATGCCAGATCGAGTGGATCGGAGATCTGTTGCAAGGTGGAGAACTCCTCGTCGCCGGTTTCGGCCGAGAACGACGAGTCGGCAGGGTCTTCGCCTTTGTCGGATCTGACATTCCCCGATCCGACGGATTCACCGTGGGAACCGCCGTCGGAAAGCAGTATGCTGCAGAAATATCCGTCGGAAATCGATTGGGCTTCGATCTTCACATCTTGATAACGATAATTTTAGGAGATTCTGCGACTAAGTTTTAGCAGTCAGCAGAATCAGTCTGTTCAGTGTTTTGTAGGGAGTTTAGAAGTTATATATATATTATGGTCTTTTCTTAACAAGTAGAAATTGTTAATAGGAAGTGAAATCTCCGGCACAGCCATCGCCGGCGGCCAACTTTTTTTTGGCTGTTCGGCCGGCGGGAGAGACGCGTACAAGTTACTATTATTTACATTTATGTAATGTTCTCCATGTAATAATAATATATTATGTTTGTGTTATTCAATTATTACTTTTCTAGATTTTCATTATACTCTCTTAAGAATTAACTGAATATTATGATAATATGTTCAAACATATCTATTATTCAAAGGTAATGTACTCTTCCAACAATATTCATTGATAGATGTATTTTCTATTTTTTAAAATAAATTTAAGAATATTATTTAAACTTAGGAAATTTATTTGACATTTAATGGTTCTATTTAAAATTATTTCTATAGCTCATTAATAAAATTATTTTTCTTCAAAGTCGTGATAGTTTTATGTCATTTATCAATCACAGTAAAACGCGGCTCGCAAAGACTATAGGTGAACACAGTAAAACGCGGCTCGCAAAGACTATAGGTGAACACAGTAAAACGCGGCTCGCAAAGACTATAGGTGAACACAGTAAAACGCGGCTCGCAAAGACTATAGGTGAACACGGAAGAGACTTTCTGAACCCACAAAATCAAGACAGCGAAATGAGTTACCACCGAAATGGTAAAAGAATACTATTAAATAAGTAAAGAAAAAGAGAGACAAAAGCCTATAAAAAATTCTATTAAATTATTTTTGCATCTATTTGATTCATGCATTTCCATTATAAAAAATTTGATTAACAATTTTAAAATAAAATTAATGTAAGCCACGTAGGATGTCACCGACTCACCACTACTAAACTTGAAGTTGAAGAAAAGGAATAAAGGGAATTAATTTGGCACCAAAAGTGATTGGTATGAACCCAAACTATCCCTTTCTTCCTTTTAATTGAACTTCCAAAGATATATTTATTTACTGAATTAATGCGATATTATGAGAATATAGAGTGTACCCATTAAAATTTATGAATCATAAAGTCAAAAGTCAAACCTATGACAAAAAGAAATCCAACGGTGGAGGGTGAGGGGAATCTAAGAGATGATGAGAATCCTGTCTTTTACCTCTTCATGTGGATATTCACATTTACGACAACAGTTAAAAGGGCTCGTTAAACTGTAAACAAGTGGTTTTTTTTTTTTTTTTTTTTTTAAATATGGAACAGAGCTGGGAGAGCTAAGCTAAGCTCCTTCCTTTCTAACTCACTAAAATCATGGCAACAAACTTCATCCATAATTGAATACAGCGATCAAACCATTTCATTCTCTTGATTTGATCATCTCACAGTTGTAATTTGCTGCCAGGCTTCATAAGCAGCATCGACACCTCAAATAGATCGAGCTCAATTATCAGCTGAACTTACCAAGCTCCATCTTCTTCTTGATCACCTTCTGACCATGATATATGAATGAATCTAATATTCCTGAGACCGTGAACACGCCTGGATCGAACCACCATGAAAGCATTTTCCTCGGTTAGTCATACCACTCAATAAGCATAAACAGGTTCATTCTTCCCTTCGAGAACAAAAGAAACTCATATTTTTTTTAAGGCATAGTTAAGCTAGCTAAGAAGAATGAAAACTATGCCCTACTTAATTACGAAACATACTGATGTTATTTCGTATCCTTTACCAAGAGAATTGGCAATGTACTACCTACCATCAATTCAATATAAAGATGTAACGAGGTCGGTACCAAATAAATGAAGTAAAGCAATTCGAGAGGATGGGAGTTCGTTAAGTACCTCCAACTATAGCGCATACATTTGTCAAGAAGTGGAGGAATGACACGTGCTCCTCGGTGAATGTGACCTATAACATACAAAACAAACAGCTATAAGAGTAACGAAAAGTTAATCTTCTATTTCATCACAAATTGAACATGTAAGAAAAACCAACCTTGATGGGAGAAAGGTCATAGAAGAAGAAAACTGCAGGAAGTGACTGAAGCCGTCCAACTTCTGCAGTCCTTACATGTTCTGTGACAGAGAACTGCAACAATCCATGGCTCTCATCTTTATGGCATTGCCCAAATATATGACACATATATGTAGTAACAATTACAATAAATCAGATTTCAGAGTTTTACGAATATCAACCTGGTTTGACTGGATGGTATTCCCGCTAACGTCCTTGTAAACAGTTGGTACAACCTGCAAAAACAAGACAGCAAATGAAACTCTACTCGACTTGCTCCAGCTAACCTACTAGGAATGATGTGATATATAATATATCTTCATTACAATAATGTTGAGGATTGTTGGGAGAAGAGTCCCACATCAACTAATTAAGGGATTGATCATGGATTTATAAGTAAAGAATACTATCACAATTGATATGAGGCCTTGTGGGGAAACCAAAAGCAAAGTCATGAGAGCTTATTCTCAAAGTGGACAATATCATACCATTGTGGAGAGTCATGGTTCTTAACATGGTATCCAAGTGATGCCCTTTAACTTAGCCATGTCGAACAAAGAAGTTGTGAGCCTCGAAGGTGTAATCAAAAGTGACTCAAGTGTCGAATAAAGAGTGTACTTTATTCGATGGCTCCATAGGCCTCATGGAAGGCTCTATAGTGTACTTTGTTCAAGGGGAGGATTGTTGAGGATTGTTGGGAGAGGAGTCCCACATCGGCTAATTAAGGGGCTGTTTGAGGGCTCCATAGGGCCTCAGGGGAGGCTCTATGGTTCTATGGTGTACTTGGTTCAAGGGGAGGATTGTTGAGGATGTTGGGAGAGGGGAGTCCCACATCAGCTAATTAAGGGGCTGGTTATGGGTTCATAAGGAATACTATCTCCAAACTCATAGGAGTTCATTCTCAAAACAATCCAAAAACTAACCTTGATAAAATATTGGTATGTTGCACTTGGTGTTTCTTGCATCCATTGCACGCTTCACAGTTGAAAAATTAAAATATTAAAGATAAATGCAAATAAGGTCATAGTACAAGGAGATCTCAAGGTAAACTAGGAGCTCCAAGAAAAGAAGTGAAAGCCTACCTATCCAGAGGATTCACCACGCCAGGGAAATATTCTCCAAATGCTAATCTGTTAATCTTGTGACTTATCTGAATCAGAAAATGTACTTAAATTAGACTGATAATCTAAGAACCCTAACTCAATCTTAGGCATAGGTTGTTTTTTTATAAAATGACAGACCAAGTTTAAAATGTATCTTACATTGAAGCTGTCCTTTTGGAATGCCAACACATCATGTACATGAACATTCGACTGTTGAAAGCTTTTCCCAGGTGCAAAGTGAAAATTTCCGGCAACCTTATTAACCTCCAAAAATCCATATATATTGCATCCTTCACCATCCTCATCCTTGATCCTTTGGAGAAACCCTTCTCTTTTGCACTGAACATCATAAATATTTACAAAATTATGACAGTGAATAAGATAAGATCAGCCTTAAAATCATCCTATTAACAGAACACTGAAATCCCTACGGTACTAGGCATATCTTACTGATATTATTACATCAGACGGCAGTAAGAGAAAATTCGAAGTCAACAAGATAACCCTAGAGAAATGATATTCTTGAATTGATGCTCTTTTCATACAACGAATGCCACATAACAGATGAAGGAAAAGTAATGTTCATAGTACTCAATCCATTAAAAAAAAATAATAATAAAAAAAAAAGGTAAAGTGTCATACAAAATATTTAATTAATAGAAAATCTCAAAGGTTGCCAAAGACTACTGGATTGTTTATAAAAAGGATGGGGTATGCTTTTGTTCAATGAAATCTCAATCCAATACTGTCTAGCAAAAATAGGTCTCAAGCTATGGACTATGTCAAATAATCTTTAATCAGGGGCAACTATGGGATTAATATGCTTTCAAGATCATATGCAAAAGTTCTCGTGTATCCCGAGAAATTATATCACATAATGCAGGGCGGAAAAACATCATTCTAGCCGCGGAGGTCAAAAGTTCATCCATCTTCCAACAATGGATGGAAAATCTCACCCATGTCAATTGGTGAAGAAGCTATGCAATAGATATTTCTATTTTAATAAAGTTCAACTTCTGAAATAAAAATGTCTCGCTAAGAAAATTTAAACATCATGGCCATGCAATAAACTAATGAGGGGGCATGAATACATATGTATAATTAACGCCAGATACTTGAACAAACTTGGAAGCAACTTCAAAATTGTATGGATAAAAGGAATGCGTATAAACAGGAGCCCTCATCCTGACAAACCTGGTCAATCAAATCTGGGTTTGACACAGCCCAACCTTTCTTTCGATAAGCCTCACGAACATCCTCACACGAATTGCAACAATCATCATCTGCCTGCGAATATAAAGGAGTTAAAAAAAAAAAAAAAAGGTTAAGCAAACGAACTGCGAATGCAGGAGGGAGGATGTAGCACCAACTATGTTAATCTTCAATGAGCCCCTTCTCAAAAGGAAGAAGTGGACAAAAAGAAAACATACAAAAAACAGAAGAAGAAAAAAAGTAAACTCAAAATGACATAACGCATAACCAATAGTTTAATTCATCAAGTCAAATTACGTCAATTAAATTTAACAGAATAGGCCATAGCCATAAGATATAGACCTACTTATTGGATTGCACAATCAACCACCAAACAAACTCATGAACTTCTATAAGATTTTCTGACACATCTACTATTTAGAGGTAGTCAAGCAACCGGGAAACTATATTCAACAATCAATCAAGTCATATGAGAAAAAAATACATTCTTTTGTGAGCTTTACAATGAAAGTTCGGTTATCTATAAAAAAAGATATTAAAAAAAAAAAAAAAGAGGATGAAGAAGGTCATACTGATTCAGCTCCGTAGCAGGATCCACAATATGTCTCATTATGCTCAAGCCTGCCACCATGTTTCTGTAAGGGCTTCTCTAGCTGTGCCAAAGTCAAAACGAACAATAGCAAAAAAGACAATTAAATAACAGCAGCAATGCCTGATTCACAAAAAGCATATGTATGGGCGGATAGTTTTATTGATTGGATTAAAGATCAAACTGTTGAAGATGTCCATTGCTATATAAATTTGCATCAAAATTAAGCTAGACAATTAAAATGGAAACAAAAACTGGCACAAGTCAAGATATTTGTATACAAGTTTCTTCCTGGCCTTTGTTTTCTCAAAAATGGCTATATGTTACAAATTTCTAGACGTGTTCTCTACCACTGCAAGCACCATTGATTCTTAACCTCCCATCACCTAAAAACACTAAAAAAATTTCACATAAACATGCATGTGTGTAAACCATCATATATCATGTTGCATCTAGTCCATCCTACGTCCTTTCTCATCCTATTGGTTTGCGTGAATTGTAGATTAAGCACAATATTATTTTCATCTCATCACTGCAGCAAAAGGTCAACTTTAAATCATTAATCATCATTGCTTGCATCGTAGAGTTTTCGTCTAATGGTGCCATAAGTAAACCACTCTAGTTGGCCAGCTTTGGATTGATCCAACACTCAATAAAAGCAACCACAGATAACAGTTATCTATTTATCACTTTTTTTAAAATTTATGCCAATCTAAATATACATATTATCCAAAGCACAATCAATGGTGACTAGATGACAGAGTTTCTCCGATTGAACTATCATCCCTAACGTAGCACAGATTAGATTAGCTCCATATGGTTCGACAAATGGCCAGAGAAAGAGGAAGGGATAGAAGGAATTTAAATTGTCATCACATTACAAACCTTAGGAGCACCAATCCCATCTGGTCTAGCTTCAATAGCATTTCCATGAGAGTCCAACCTTTTTTTGATTATGTCATGCTTCTGCATACAGGGAAAACAATATGTAAATCTTGCACCACACGCACAGACATGCATTACGCAGCTCAATTTCAGATAATTAATATATTTTGGACAAGGAGAGAAACAGAAAGTAACCATACGCACCACGTCTAAGTGTTGCTCTCCACTGATGTCCATTGCATCAAGACTTAATAAAGAACAAGGAAGTGCAGGAAAGGTAACATCAAACTGCAAATAAAAATGGAGAAAATGTATAGATTAACAAAGAAAAATTTATGCATAACACTAGAAACATCGAGAAACAATGTAAATTTATGCATAACACTAGAAACATCGAGAAACAATGTACGACATAGTTACACTTGGGATAACAACCGAGAAGAGCAACTGACATGTCCATACTTGAAAACTAAATTATTCTCCACGTAAAGGTAAAGCAAGAGAAGAATAATAACATTCTGAAATGCTTCAAAATAATGAGCATATAAACACAATATCTATACAAAATTAGGAAATGGCAAGTTACATTGATACGTAGGGTTTCTCCTCTTGATGTATCGACTACGAGCTTTGTTTCTGTTACAGCATGGAGATACAACCCTACAACCAATGTGAGTTTCAAGTGTATTAGCAGTTAAAGAAAGCAAATCTATAAAGTATATACTCAAACAGAAACAGCAAGAAAACAGAAATTAATGAGAGCATGATATATTGGTAATCTTATGGCCTGAACTTGGATAAAGAACATATGAATCAAGAAGTAAACTCTGATGATAATGTATAATTCCGATGAAATCTTGTCTGCTGAACCAAGAAGGAATGACAAGGAAAAAACTAATGGCGCCAACAAAAGTCAGACGGGCTTGCCCGATGCAGCCTGGGACTCGGAAATGTACATAAAACAGAACAGATTCTAGAGAGAAAAAATATATAATAAAATTCAATTGAAATACACATTATGATGAGATCAGGATTCAATTATGAATGTACAGAACAAACGCGCAGGCAAGATAAAATTGATAGATAGGGAAAACCTACGTAGCTCGGAAATGAATAGCAAAAGCATGACAACAGAAGACGCAAGCGTAATAACGCCACCGGAGAGCGTTCGGCTGTAGAAATCCTCATTAATTTTAGGGTAAGCATCCAAGTTTCGAAGTTTGCTGATTATATTATCCATGTCCAGCCTCTAATTTTCCGATCCGACGCAGCAGCCAAGGAGATAGAGATCCCGGTGTTCGATCTATCCAAATCAAAATTAAGAAGACAACGAGATCAATAGAGGATAATTTTGAAAAATCCAAACCCCCCGCCCAGACAGAAACTCCGATTCTTCCCGGAAAATGACGGGACAATTGGGATTTGAGAATTGAACACGGCGGAGACCCAAGGGAATATGATCTAAAAAGAGAAACCGAGCTCCGTGTTTCCCTGGATATAGGGATTGGGTCTTCGTCTCCGATTGGAAAATCTGCAGACCATGAATCTTTAGGACCTTTCTTCCGCTACCATTTTCTTTATTTATATCATGAACTAAAAAACTATAAACCTTTTTTTTCGGACACAAAAATACCCTCATATTTTAAGTAATATACTATTAAATTACCATTTTACATTTTAATTATTTTTTAAAATTTTTAACAACTTCCTTCTTTTTTTTTTTTATTTTTTTTTATATATTAGTCAACAAATTAAAATTTTTTAAAATTTTAAATTAAAATGTAATATCAAATATGTCGATGACTTATTTGAGAAATTAAGAATTTAATTAATATTTTTAAAATTTTATGATATAATATTAATATGTGGATGTTTAATTTAAAATATTAATTTCCATGGTTTTTTTTTTTTTTTTTTTTGGTTTTTAATTTCAAATTTTGGAGAACGAAAAAAGATTGGAGACAAGACACTCATATGGGCTTTATGGCCCATTTAATCTGGGTTCGCTGCATTTGGGCCGTATGCAATTGGAAAATTGACATTTTCAAGCCCACGAACAAAATGGCTGGCCCATTGTTCTGTCTTCTTTACTGGGCCGCTAAAGAATCAAAAAGTGGCCCGGGCCGATTGAAGCCCGCAAGAATAAATAAAATGCAAATTCAAAAACGAAGAAAATGAATGAGCTTCTATCATTAAAATATTTTAAATTTAAATATCAAACATTTACGAGTCACACCCCATTGCTAACGTTGATTACAAATATTAAATATTCTTAATTTTTAAAAAATAGGGCTGGGTTGTAACTTTATTTTTGAGCTGGTCGGGTTAATGTCAACCCGTAAACTGAACCTAATTCGTTATTTTCCAAAAATTCAAACTAGGAAAAAAATGTAATTTAACGAAATTTTTATGGTTTAGGTTAGGTAGTCTAAGTTGATCGGGTTCTCGAGTCATATGAATGCCCCTGATCGTAAGATATTTTTTTACCATGATCGTAACTTCTCATGGCTTTGCTTCTAGTTTTATTCAAACAACATAATCTCAATAGAGGCATATCCTACAATCTTCCCAAATACTGAGAAGCTCAAGTGTGAGATCCCATACCTGTTGGAGAGGGGAACGAAACCTTCGTTATAAGGGTGTGACAACCCCTCCTAAGCATACACGTTTTAACAGTGGGTTTGGGTTGTTACAAATAGTATCAAAGCTAGGCATCGAACGATGTACCAACGAGGACGCTGAGCCCCCAATAGAGGTGGATTGTGAAATTCCACATCGATTCGAGAGGGGAACAAAGCATTTCTTATAAGAGTGTGGAAATCTCTCCCAAGTATTTAAAAACCTTGAGGGGAAGCCCACAAGAAAAACTCAAAAAGGACAATATCTATTAACAGTGGGTTTGGGTTGTTACAAATAGTATCAAAGCTAGGCATCGAACGATGTACCAACGAGGACGCTGAGCCCCCAATAGAGGTGGATTGTGAAATTACACATCGGTTCGAGAGGGGAACAAAGCATTTCTTATAAAAGTGTAGAAAACTTTTTATAGCAAACAATATCTATTAGCAATAAACTTGAACGGTTACATCGAGTTATTGTCATTTTAGATTTACTAGACAAGTCCTAATTCAAACACGAAATGCATATGTCAATACTTTTTTACTCGAGAATCCAATATGAAATCTTGTTGTCTAAGAAGGTAGGTAGATATCAAATCAAAGTGTGCGCATGTTACACATCTTATCAAATTCTTAGAGTTTCAAATCAAATAACATATTATGTTGGAATTTGGTACATTTTTTTTAAAACTAGTCTTGTCTAATCACTCCATTCAAATTCGACGACATGACTCCAAACACTTTTGTCACTGCTCGATTAATTAAGACATCGTTTAATAATCATTACAGTTATTTAATTTTTAAAAATTAAATTAGTATACACTACTTTATATATATAATTTTTTTTAAAATATTGAATTTAATTATGAAAATTTATATGGCTTATCTAGGCCCTAAAGTTCCCACTATGGGAGCATTTATAGCTACAAAATTAAAATTAATATAAAAATATTATTTTTACAATTATTAATTTTCGTACCAAAAAAGAAAAATTAAAAAAGTTAGCTGCATGCCCACATAGGGTTATAACCTCTTGGATTTGTTGATATTAATAATTTGAAAAAATATTTAAATTATTGGTGACAATCAATTCATCCTTGGACTATCCTAGCTAGTTAGTGCCATAGGCACTAATGAAAATAAAAAAACAAACCCAAGAGGGACAACAAGACCTTGACAAACTAGGTTTAGAAGGTGTGTTATATTTGGACACGAATCATCGTACACTTTAGAACAATAGGGTTTTTTTTAGTCTTCAATAGATGAGACATTAATTACGATTCTGGAAGTTGATAGCTCAATACGGTACATGTGTTAGTGAATCATTAGCAGCTAGAATCTTTGCATGTATGACCCGATAATCTAACCAACCTAGACTACTCAACCCAAATTGTAAAAATTGGGTTGAGTTAGATTTTTTTCCAATTTGATTTGTAGGTTGACATTTTTTTAGTTGGGTCGACAACTCAATCCTAATTTTAAAAAGATTAAAAATATTTAACATCTGTAATTAATGTTAGTGATGCGTTATGAATTGTAAATATTTGATATATGAACTTTATGTGACAATTCAACTTAGAAATAGAGGGTTGAGTTGTGAAATCTATATAGATTGTTCGAGACACCAACCCATCCAACCCAAAATTTCTGATGAGTTGTTTTTTTTCAGTCGATTCAAACCCAAGCTATGTACACTCCTAATGTGACCAAAACAATTTTACACATTAAAGTTACGTAACCACGTTGAAATCTATACTTTGAGTGAAATCATATCGAAAGAAATAAAATTGAAATTCAAGTTCAAAACGTTGGAACCGAACTTTATATTATATTATTATTTTGAGACGATAGATATCTCATCTTAGCTATAAAAGAAGAAGATAAGACAAGATATTATGATAATGGAAGATTAATATATTAAGTGGGGTAAGATATACTTTTCAAACACAATAATCATTAGAAAGTAAGAAAATTAGGGTTTATAAAAATATTTTGAAGTGATTCACCATCGACGATCGTACGTACGACAAATGTAAAATTCTAATAATGACTTTATAAATCTCTGTACTTAAATTTATTAATTTAATAATATCTTTAATTAAAAAATAGTATAATTCTTTATTGAAGGTTCGAGATTAAAGGCAGCAAACGACTTTTATATAAAGTTTGTATTGAAAATAACGTTACAATATTGAACTATGAATTATATTCATTAACCTAACTCCGACCTTATTATAAAAAAAAAATATATGTGACAAAAACTCTATGGAGCGAGTAGATATTAAAATTAGAAGGTTAAAAAGAAAAAGAAAAAAAAGAAGGTTTGATGGTGGAGAAAGCAAAATGGGTGGGGAGGGCACTAATTAGTGGGCCCAGATGAATCATTGCCAAGCTGGGATGACATGTCCCATCAGAAACAAGTGTGAACAGTGGGGCCCATTTATTTAATTAAGTTAAATCTGTAATTATTATTAGTGAAAAAGTGTGGGGGCCATGATTTGTAACTGAAAATCCAGTGGATATTTGAAGCGACAGTTATTTCAGTTAAGGGGGTGTTTTAGTTTCAGTTTTTTTATTTTTTTTATTTTTTTTTTATTTTTTGGAGCGGCCACATCAGCTAATGACATGGACAGATTTGGCCACCCGGCTTTCCTTATTTGGCCAAATATTCAAAGCTTATAAAGATTACACGTAAGTTGGTAGATGGCAGAAATCTTGATATTTAATTTCATACCTAACCAAAATATTATTATTATTATTATTATTCTGACGTGTATTTTTCTAATTAAATTACCAATTTTGTTGTCTCAATAAACAAGACAAATAAGTGGACATTGTTTTATAGAAACCATTGGCTGATAGAGAATAATATTTTAAATAAAAAATTTCGTATTTTCATCTCGAGTTTTAAAATATATTTCTATTCCGTCTATATATTAAAAAAATTAGTTTTTTAATCCCGACTTTAAAGCATAAATCTATTAACAACTAAATAGTTGGTTAAAGTCAGTCCGCTCCATTGTAGTACTCTTTTCTCGAATTGGATCGACAAAAATTATAATAATAATATATTAAAAAAGCGGTTCTTATTAGATTTTTAGCTACTTTTAATAGAGCATTAGATCCTTTAATTCACCCATCGAGTTACTTTATAATACTTTATATTATTATTCCTATTATAAGATTAGTCGAATTTGATTTGTCTTCTAGTGAGATCGTTCATAGAATATTAGATTTAAAGTGAATATAATTTATTTTAGAGAATATTTTCTCGTATAATATATCATCTTTTTAATAATGCTTTGAATAAACAAAACAATAAAATTTAAAAACCCGATAAAATAAATTATATATATATATATATTGACAGATATGATAGAGAGATCGGAGATTTAAATTTATTTATTTTTTAATTATTGTTTAACCTTTTTCTTCAACCCAAGTTATTCCAAACTTTGTATTTGGCTCCCCATTTCAAACACCTTGCCTAACTCTCATTCTTCTTCTTCAACCACACAAAACTTTTGACCCTAACACCCATTATTCCCGTGCATGACACGCCTACTTTCTTATATAATTGCGTTTAGGTTTAGATTCCATTTCTGACTTCCAAATATTCTGTTTCCGATCATTCGGGATCATTCGGGAGCTACCATCATATGTATTCATTTCATTAGTACACGACCCACAATTCTAAGTCTCATTGTGCAAAATTTCAGTAACATTTTACACGTAAAATTTTAAGAACCAAATCTCGAAAACTGAAATTTAGACATTTTATAGGTTTTTTAAAGGACCCCAAGTTAGAATTAGCACTCAAGAACTTACTCGACCGGAAATAGACGTGTAAAAGAGATATGTAAAGAATGTAAAGAAACATTATTATTTTGTGAGAATATGGAATCTTTTATCTTAGTCTGGTTTTAACTAAATTACATATTTCCCACGACATAATCATGGGAAAAAGGAAATTATTAATTTTCCGACAATAAAAGCTCCATCCTTAAATAATAATATATTTTTTGTCAACCTTATTTATATTTCAATATTGGATATTATAATAAATAAAATATATCAAATTTTAATGGAATGATTCAACTGGTAATAATATATTTATTTGAAATATTGAAAAATAATGAAAGAAATAATTAATTTTTATTATCTACTTTTGTTTTAAAAGAAAGCATAAAAGGAAGGAGAAAATAATAATAATAATAATAATAATAATAATTGACTTGTGAAAGAGAAAGTCCAATTTATGTTATTTCCCATTCTATTTCCACTTTAATCAATAATTAAAATTAAAATTAAAATTAAAAAAATAAAAAAAGGAAAAAAGTAGCTCTTTTTTTCTAACTCTAAAAGGTGCATGATATTTGTTTTATTCCAAAATTGAAACCCATATGATAATAATTTTACTTTTTTATCTTTTATTTCTTTTTTTATTTATTATTATTATAGTAAAATTTAATAAATACGTAGAATTGATCCAATATGGATTCAATATTTTATAGTCTCGACATTCCTCTACATCCTAACACGAGTAATTTCAAGATAAATTTGCTCATTTAATTTTGGATTTCTTAAAGTCAAGTCAACGTAAACGAAGGTGTATTTTAAGTTTTTTTAGCTATCATATCTTAAGACCGCTCTTTTCGATTGTGGTCTTAGTTTATTCATGTACCCCTCATTTACTCGAATGTCACAATTAAAATTTAAAATTTTAAAATTTTAAAATTAAGACATTAATATTAATTAATCCACCCTCACATTTTTAACTCTATTATGGATCATAAAAAATAGAAATTTAAAATAAATAATAATAATAATAATCAATTTTTTTTAATTATTTATTTTAAAATTTTCAAAGTGGGGTTAAGTGGTCCTTGGCCCATTTTCGCTCTCTTAATCTCGAAGCAAAAAAAAATTCGAACATCTAATCTATTGATTGAGACAACTACATAAAATAGGTATTAACGAGTGATTTTAGTTAAACTATTTACGTGATTGTTAAGGTTATAATGCGGATTATTTAAATTATTAATTAAAGAAAAATAATTATTTAAGAAGAAAATGGATATTTAGAGAGAGGGAGAGAATAATATTTGGGGGTGGTGGGGATGAGCGAGTGGTGGCTGAAAAGTACAGCAACTAAAGCAAAGAAAAGATTAATAATTTGGTCCATTAGCGCTATGAATCTCTGTTATAAATTCACCCTTTCTTTCCCCATCATCATCGTCTTCGTCCTCTTCAAAATCCTCTGTTTTGCTCTGTTTTGCTCTGTTTTTGTTTTCAATTCTTCATTCCCCACATATGACCAACCGGAAACCATCTCTTCCCATCGCCAAATCCCGAATCGGCGTCGCCATAACAGCCGCCAGAATCGGCGGATTTGCAGCGAATATGTTAAAGAAGAAGCTTCTCAAAAGAACTGAAAATGGCGGATGCGGCGGTGGAGGCGGTGGCGGAGGAGGAGGAGGAGGCAGAAACAGAGCCATTGCTTGCTCTGTTGATTTGATGAGAGCTTCATCTCCAACTCGTCTGAACTCAGCAATTTCTCTCTCCCAATCCACCGCTCAATCGCCGCCATGGATTGTCAGCTCCCTCCCTCCACTGTTCTTCTTCCTTCCTTAATCCATTACGATTCTCACCAATTTTTACTCTGTTTTGTTACACATTGTAGCTTCATCTCCCGTCTGCACTCAACATGTTCGACGAAATTACAACCGCCTCAAAAGGCAAACAAATCGTCATGTTCTTGGATTACGACGGCACTCTTTCCCCAATCGTTGAAGATCCCGACAGAGCATTCATGACCCATGAGGTTAGTGTTCTTTAAAATCACCCTATTAACAAACGTCAGACGAACACACTCTCCACAATGGTATTATATTATCCTTTGAGCATCAGCTCTCATGGCTTTGTTCTCAAAAGGCCTCATACCAATGGAGTTAGTATTTCTCACTTATAAACTCATGATCATTCCCTAAATTAGCGGATATGGGACTTTCATCATCCAACACCTCCCCTCGAACAAAGCACGCCTCCCCTTAATCGAGGCTCAATTCCTTTGGAGTCTTAGTCATTTTTTACTGTCTTCGTACCTTCGAGAGGCTTGACTCCTTAAGCCTCCTTTTTTACTTTTTGGAGTTCTTTGTTCAACATTCGAGGATTTGTCAATCTATTGGCACGCTAAGTTTAGGGCATGACCCTAATGCCATGTTAACCAATGTGAGACACTTTCATCTAACAACAACACAACCATTCATCCAATTCTTCTTTTCTCTCACCATTAACTCATCCGACAAGCAGATGAGAGCAGCCGTAAAGAACATCGCCGCCCATTTTCCCACCGCCATCGTCAGCGGAAGGTGTCGAGACAAGGTATAAATTTCATGAGGCTCTCCACAACGATACTATATTGTCTACTTTAAACATAAACTATCGTGACTTGTAGGTGTACGAGTTTGTAGGATTAGCAGAGCTGTTCTACGCAGGTAGCCATGGAATGGACATACAAGGCCCAACAAAAGGCTATAAATCCAAAAAAGTAAGCAATATAAATAAATAAATAAATATTATATATTTAAATTAATATTTAAAATAAATAAATTCCAGGGCAATGAAGCAGTGCTTTTCCAACCGGCAAGCGAGCTGCTACCCATGATTGACGAGGTTTGTAATTTTATTTTATTTATTTATTTTGAAACTGACGAGGTTTGTGTTTGTTTGTGGGAAAAAGTCAAGCCCGTATCCAAACACTATTATAGATTTAATTATATTTTTAATTTTAATTTAAAATTTTTAAAATTGTTTATTTATTTATTTTTTTCAGGTACATAAAACGTTGTCAGAAATAACAAATTCCATTACAGGGGCAAAAGTGGAAAACAATAAGTTCTGCATTTCTGTGCATTTTCGCTGCGTCGATGAAAAAGTAATTATTTTTTTTCAAATAAATAATTAAATAAATAAATCCTAATAAAAATAAATTATTAATTACTTTTTTTTGGGAGTGAAATTACAGAAATGGGCTGGATTAGCGGACCGAGTTAAATCCGTGGTTAATCAATATCCTAAATTGATTCTCACTTTAGGAAGAAAGGTATAATTTTTATTTTATTTTAATTATGGAAAAATCCTGGTATCTCACCCGCACGTGCCAACCCTTTTACTTTTTACGACCATTATTTTTATTTATTTATTTTCCTCACGCTCGCTAAAAATACAAATAATCTTGATAGGTACTCGAGATTCGACCTGCTATCAAATGGGACAAGGGCAAAGCTTTGGAATTCTTACTTGAGTCATTAGGTGAATTAAACTCGTATTATTATCTAACCTAATGTGTAATGTAGGGTTTGTCGGTGCTGATATGGTTGACTTTGATCAGGGTTTGCAAATTCTAGTGATGTTTTGCCGGTTTATATTGGAGATGATCGGACGGACGAGGATGCATTTAAGGTATCGATATTTTTTAAGAAATAAAATAATAAATGTTTTTTTTTATTTTTTAATAAATATGGGATTATATGAATTGGACAGGTTTTGCAAAGTAAAGGATTAGGGTTTGGAATTTTAGTATCGAAATTCCCTAAGGAAACTTGTGCTTCTTATTCCTTGCAAGAACCATCCGAGGTAATTAACTCAATTTTTAATTTTTAAAAATTAAAAAATCTCTATGTACATTTACGTTTTTACCCTTTTTGAATTTGTTTGGTCCAGGTTGAAGAGTTTCTGTGTCGGCTGGTGAATTGGAAAAGATCGAAGGGATTTTCTCACTCCATCTGATTAATTAAAAATAAAAAAAATAATAAAAAAATAGAAGGACATTTAAGTCATTTTGAATTCACTCAAAGAGTGAAATTTCAAATTAATTCTCTATTTTATGTTTATGTTTTATGCTCATTATTAATTTATATCAATTTCTAAATTATTTGTCTACCGGTCACCTACCTAAGATACTTCAAAATATTCGATATCAATTATCATTTTAAAAGTCAATGATATTCAATATAATCTTGAGCTCTATCTCGTTAAACTCGAAAGAGCTGTAACTCCACTGCTCAAAATCACATTACCTACTTGTCTTGATTATCCCGATAAATCAACACGAATCCTTTAATACTTTTTGTCACCATTTGCATGTTTTTAGGAATATTTCTAAGAAGCCACCCAACATAGAATTACTTCAAGTCAAACGTCTAACCACGAAGAAAGAAGTACAACAATAAAACATATGTTTTTGGATGTGTATGCCATTGCAATGATCAACAATCATGCAACTATTTAAGGCATTTAAAAGGCACAAGGGCTTTCTTTTGGCTTTTGAACCAAAACTATTGATACTCAAAGTGATCTAAGTTTAAACTTAGATGATTGATGATGATCGATGATGATTGTGATATGGTATCACTTCAACTATGATTAAACAACCTAAAAAGCAACACTTTTATGTCTCTAGCCTCTACTTTGTTCTCAATTTTGGATCATAATTAATCTCCTTTACCTTTTAGATCTTACAATATATGTCCAAACTCATTAGGGTTAGCATTTCAACGAGAGTGTTTGATAGATTCTCGTAGCCATGTGATAATCATCTTAGGATGATCTTTTTGTTGACGATGCACCTATCACACTCGTAGTGTAACAACCCAAATCCACCCATTAGGAGATATTGTCCGCTTTGGTTCATTATGTATCGCCGTCAGCTTCACGGTTTTAAAACGTGTCTTTTAGAAAGCAGTTTCTGGACCCTTATAAGGAATGTTCCGTTCTCATCTCCAACCGATGTGAGATCTCACAATCCAGCCCCTTTGGGGCCCTAGTGTCTGGTTCTAATACTATTTGTAACAACCCAAGACTTATTACGTATCGTCGTTAGTCTCACAGTTTTAAAACACGTCTACTAGGGAGAGATTTCCACACCCTTATAAGAAATGTTTCGTTCTCCTCTCCAACCGATGTGGGATCTCACAATAGCTGACAGAGATACGTAATGAGCCAAAGCGGACAATATCTACTAATAGTAGACATACTGGATGGTTAGAGGCAACTTCACGGTTTTAAAACGCGTCTTCTAGAGAGAAGTTTCTGGACCCTTATAAGAAATGTTTCGTTCTCATCTCCAACCGATGTGAGATCTCACAATCCAGCTCCCTTGAGACCCCAATATCTGGTTCTGATACTACTTTTAACAGTCGAATACCCATTACGTATCGTCGTTAGTCTCACAGTTTTAAAACATGTCTACTAGGGAGAGATTTCCACACTCTTATAAGAAATGTTTCGTTCTCCTCTCCAATCGATGTGAGATCTCACAACAGCTTACGAAGATACGTAACAAGCCAAAACGGACAATATCTACTAACAGTAGACTCAGACTGTTACACGTAACCTCTGAAGGATGAGAACCAACAATATAGCATCCACACCGAGAATTCAAGGATTGTATACGTGATTAGTCTAACCCTTTATAGAAATCATTTTCGAGTTTTCGTTTAATTCAACAATTATCGAGCGTAAGATTAGATCATCGACCTTTGAAATCGTAACGGAAATCTGAAACGAATCTTCGTGATTGGATGATGGTGGTTTTGATTAATGGAGTTATTTTCAAGGAGTTAGGTGGTGAAAAAGGAAAACCCACTACTCCTTGGGAAAAGGGGAAATCATTGTTGAATGAGGAGTTGGATTCCACTTCTTCACCCTAATAAAAATCACATTTTTTCCCTTTTTTTCTTTATATAAATAAATAAATAATTTATTAAATATTGATTAATGGGTTTTACACCAAAACTATATATACACAAACACAACTCAACATCCATCCCTCTCTAGTTGAATCTTTTCATTTTTCAGACGTGTAAAGAAAAGCATATTCAATCCCATCATTGCTTCTTCTAAACCCTAAAAACGCTCCAATTATTGCCCTAAAACCGTCTTTCTCGGATTATATTCTCTGTCCTCGACCTCCCGTTAACTCCTCTCGAAATGGGTTTTAAATGTTTTAACGTACCCTACGAAAACTCTCGAGTAAGATCGATCGTTGATCGTTACTTCTCCCACGTTATTATTCTATGCTTGAATGGTCGAGAAAACTCGAGAAGGTAGGACGATGTTTGTTGTTTTTATGCTAGTATGGAAACAAAAATGTACGTGAGTGCAGGAGCATTATTATTAGAAATGGTGGGGCTTTTTTTTGTTCTCTTTGAGTCCATTCACTGGGGGGATACCCACCAAGTGAAGGGCATGTGTCTTTATCTTTGCATATCGTAAAGAAAAGGAAGGGTTCATTGAGATTCTCAATAATAATAATAATAATAATAATAACAATAATAATAGAACTGTGGGGTGGCACCTAGATGGCCCTTGGTCGTGGAGGGGTGCCCTATATTATTAGATATTGATTTGCATGTGACTTGGACATGACCTTTCCCAAGGGAACATATGCCCTAGATGTTTGCTTTCTAGGGTGTTTTTACTTTTAGATAGAACAATCACATATTTTCTTAGTTTTCAAGTAATGATAATGGTACTTTTGTAATATCATTCTAAATGTTCGATAAAAACTAACCGTTCTTAGTGGGTTTGATTTTAAAAAACGATAATTTTGGGTTTTGGACGATAAGCTTGTAAAAACGTTACTTTACCTTCGAGTTTTAACTTCATGTGTTTTATTTATTTAACTTGAGGAGAAACTTGGAAGAGAAAGCTCAAAGAGGATAATATCTATTAGCAGTGGGCTTAGGCTCTTACAAATGGTATAGAGCCAGACATCCAACAATCTGCCAGTGAAGACGCTGGCTCCCAAAGGGAGTGGATTATTAGATCCAGCAATATGACATGTCGGTTAACCTTGAGGGGCTTGAGGGGAAGTCTGACATAGAAAGCCATAAGAGAACAATATCTACTAACAGTCGGCTTTGGCTGTTATAATATGGGTTGAGTGGGTTGGGTTAGATTTTTTACACGAGTTGGATTGGGTTGTCGGGATTTTTTTTTTAATAATTAAAAAAAAATCATATTTATCCACAAAATTAATGTTTGAAATCACGGGTTTACAAGAAAAAACTGGTGTTCATGCCTCGAGAATTCGATCAATTAGTTTTTTTAGGTTGAATTTTTAGAACCCTAAAAATTATAAAGACATGAACCCTAAAAAACCATCGATTAACAGAGAAAAGTTCACATAAAAAAGATTGAAAAAACTGCCCTTATAACGAAACGAAGGTTAAGAGATGATACGGGTTACCATTGACGTTGTTTAATCGTATTTAGGGTAAGCAAATGAAAATGGAAGTGAATATACCAATAATTTTTACCCTTTTTTGGTATCGTATTGTCATTGGCGTTCGATTTGACAATCTTGTGATAGTATATGTGAATGTTTTCCGAACGTGTTGACCGTAAAGCTACAAATGACAACAAATTTGACATCCCGACGTGTCGAGAGCCGACCTTTCGTATGGGCGGGAAGATCCATCATCAAAGACATGGAAGTTTTGAGCTTCGACTTGTTGTTTTTGATTCGTCTCTCCAATTCCTTGGGGAACGAGGAGGATTTGGTGTGAAGGGCTAACGCGACATGTCGTTGGGAGCCATGTTCTTGTTGGATAAGAGGGAACTTAGCCACAGCGACTTTGTGTTTTCGGAAGAAGAGGGAAACGTGTGAAGGAGATTTGAACTCGATGAAGCCAGAAGGGTTCGGGTTGAGGATATTCAGGTCTATATGGAAGTTGCGAGTGGAGGGGGTGAATCGAAATTTGGTGAGCTTGAAGATTGGGGGTTTGGGAGGGGTGAGAAGAGGAGGGAGGACGAGGGCTAGGATGAGGATGAAGAGAAGGACGATGAAGATAGGGACGAAGATACGAAAACAACAAGAGCGACGACGGTTAGAAGTGGAGACAGAAGGGTTACGATGACATTCGACGATGAAGGCGTTTTCAGGAGGTGGAATGCGATAGATTTGATCCTTGGGGATCTGAATGACGTAGGTGCCGGGAGAGAACCCGGGATGGACGGGTAGAAGATTAGAGTGAGTCCGCTCGGGCTCCGCCATAGAGAGAGAAGAAAAAGGAGGATAGAGAAGAAGAAGAAGGAGAATTAGGGAATGAAGAGTAATGGGTGTGGTTTGTGGTTTGCATGGATTGCATGGGGATAGGAGGAAGAGGGAAAGGCATTGGATGGTAGTTTCTTGAAACCAAATCCGAATTCCAAGCCATTTTTTTTACAATTCATTACGTTTAATATTAGATAAAAGTGTTTGGGGTTCGGTTTTTACTCGGTCAACCCTTACCCTTTTTTTTTTTTACCGACACATTATTTACCGTTTCGAGTCAGCCATTATTCCTCACATATAACTAAGTTTGTTATTTCGTTGCCTCTCCGTTTAACGTTGTTTATCTGGTTGTCCCCCTGAAGATTTGCGAGAAGATTCGAACAAAGCCTTGTTCATTGGAAGATCTATCTCGTGTTTGGTACTGCACGGTTCATGAATTCTGAATCATTCTCTTGAAACTTATCATTTTCATTAGAAACGATCCGCTTTCTCCGAAATGACCTGGCCCAATAGGAAAATCTCAATCTATTGGGCCTTTCGATACAATCAAATAAAAAACCCCAAGAGTGCCTTCTCCTTAGAGAAATCTCGTATCAACGATATAACAACATTCATTTTATATCATATCTAAGGGATTCATGGGTTCGGGTAGAAGAGGCAATGTCATTTGATCATTATCAAATAGACCGTAATCTTTTTCTGTGCATGAGGATCCCAACCAATGTAATTTTGTTTGTTAATTCGTAACATTTTAAAAAATATCTAATAAATTAAAAAAAATCAAACTACAATAATAAATTTATAATTCATATTTATTAATTATAATACTTTATGCTAAAAATAAAATTGGAAAGTCGATAAAAAATTTTTAAAAATTATTAAAAAAATAAATAAACAATTTGTGGGACCGATAATAATATTAATATTATGTTCGAAAATATTTTAATATTCCTTTTTATTTTGTAAAACATTCTGAAGAGACTTGAAAAAAATTTGGATGAATTTGAATGGGCTTTTTAAGTTTGGGCCTGTGGGCCCACTGATGTCAGGTACAAACCACAGCAATATGGCACGTTCTCTCTCTCTCTCATCACGTGATTTGCACGCGTAGCTTCTGTTAATAAGTTCAAAAAATGGAAGGCTGAAACGGAAAAAAGTGAACGAAGAAAGGTTTATACGGTTTCCAATGGCGGAAGTTCAAGAACAAGATGCTTCTTCTTCAATTCGCGTCGCCGGTGACGGCTTCGATTCTCTTCCAGATTCCCTCGTTCTTGTGATATTTAACTTTGTCTCCGATGTCAAAGCCTTGATCCGTTGCAGAGCCGTTTCGAAGCGCTTCAACTCCCTCGTTCCTCATTCCGATTCCCTTTTTCTCAAGATCGACTGTTCCATTTCCTCCGATTCCGAGTCCGATTCCGATTCCGATTCCGTTCCAACCTCCAATTTATTCGACTTCTTTCAAACTACCTTGCAATCCTTCTTCTATTTTATGTCCCCTGTTTTCCTCAAATCCAAATCGCAGAAGTCTCCCGCGCAAATCCTCCGTCAGTTCCACCGGATCCAGCGCCTCCAGATCGAGTTTCCGACTAAGGGCCTTGAAGTTTCGAGAGCCGTTAAATGGAGAGCGGAGTTCGGTGATACGCTTAGGAGCTGCGTGATTTTGAGTTTTCAAAAGATTAGGAAATTCGATGGTCGGGCGATGATGGCTGTGGATAATTTCGGTGTCGATTTCTTCCCAGGGATGGAAGCGAGAGTGACCTGGTTGATGCGCACTCTGATAACGGCGTTGGCGAGGCACCACGTGATGGCGGAGGTGGTGGTAGAGCATTTGGAGATGAAGCATCTGGTGTTGAGAGACGGGGAAGGGAATGGTGTGGTGGTGATCGAGAAGAATGGTTTAGAGGATTTTAGGAGATCGAGAGTTTGCGGCGACGGCGGAGAGACATCGGAGAGACGGACGGCGGAGAGGCGGACGTTGAGAACTAGAGTACCGAGAACGACGGTAAGGATGAAGTACTGGCCGTTGCTCGATCTCCAGCACGGGTTCTGTATGGAGGACGCTACGTTGGTGGTGGTGAGGCCCACTGGAAATGCCAGCGAGGATGAAACTGCTGACATGCGGAAAGAAGACGCTGACTTGGCACTGAGAGCATTTGAAGATAATGATGTGTACACAGTCGCCGTGGCAGAGTTATTGACGAAGGGTACTAGGTTTAAGATGTTGATAAACTCTTTCTAGATTTTCCTCTTTTTTTTTTCTTTTTTTTTTCTTTTAAAAAAATTGTAAATTTGAAAATTTCTGAGCTGAAAAAAATATATCAGTAATATGTACATTTTCTTTTATTTTTTAAAAATCTTGATTTCTAATTTGTTCGGGTCCAACTCAAGGCTCGCTTTTAATTGGGCCTAAGAGCCCAATTCGACAACAAAATCCACGTCACTACCGGACTTTTATCTGAGTAAAATACTCACTAGAAAGTAAGATGCACATTATTGGTATATGCAGTTATATCGAGCCCGAGTTAGAGTAGTATTAGGTATTTTTTTTTATGGGATGAATCACTTTTATTTATGTTTTCCTTCACGGTTTCATTGTCGAAATTGTACCAAAAAGTAAGTAGGAGAAGAAAACGTGCCTCCACTTTGTAAGTACACAACTTGATAGGTCATGTCTCTCTCACGTATTTGCTACTACCCCTCAGCCCAACTTCTTGAAAAGACTTTCAAGGAGACCTGTCGTTTATTCGTTTATACGATACCTACGGAAACTTCTTAAGAGTAAACTCACGAGTCTCTAAACCAAGTCATAGTGTAAAAGTAAGAAAATTTAAAGAATAAAGCATACGAGCAAGACTTATCAAGTAGACTTCAAATCGTTCCATTATAAAATATTCGATTATTTTGGTAACTCTGTTGACCATCTTAGAGCATCCATATTCGCAGTAATGTTCCTTTTAACTTGAGTAAAAATTACTGTTTCTTTCTTTTTTTTTTTTTTTTTTTGGGTAAAAACATTTACTATTTACTACAATGATCATAAGAGGTTCATGTATTGAATTTTTCAAATGATGCAATTAAGATTACTTATTTTTCTATTTAATTTTTTTACAGTAAAAATTGAACAAATTAAATTGCAACATTGAATAATTCAGTTTGATTGAATTGATTTCATTGTCCTCTTTCACATCACGTAAGCATGTCGTCACTTTTATATTCAAAGAATCAAAATTTTTATTATGTAACAATATTCTATTTATTTTTTTAACTTTAACAAATACACTCCACACTTTATTAATAATTTAATTAAAAAAACATATAATTTAATATCGTTAAATTAAGACATTTTGAAGGGAGTGACGTAACATTTTATTTCTGTCTATAATTTTTTAAAATTATTTATTAGTTCTAAAATTTTAAAAAATATCTAATAAATTTAAGAGTTTAACTTATTTGTAATGAATTAATTATTTATTTTATTAAACATAAAATTTATAAAATTTAAATTAGTAGGTAATAAATAAATTAATTGTTTTTAAAACTTATTAAACTCTTTCATGAATTTGAATGGGCTTAATTTTGGGCCTGTGGGTCCCACTGATGTCAGGTTAACGCTCGAACCACACGCAACTTTGCCTCTCTCTCTCTCTCTCCCACGTGACTTGCACGCCTAGCTTCTGTTAATAAGTTGGAAAAATGAAAGGCAGAAACGGAAAAAGAAAAAAAGCTTTATACGATTTCCAATGGCGGAAGTACAAGAACAAGATGCTTCTTCTTCAAATCGTATCGACGACGACGGCTTCGATTCCCTTCCCGATTCTCTCGTTCTTCTGATCTTCAATTCTGTCTGCGATGTCAAAACCTTGATCCGTTGCAGAGCCGTCTCGAAGCGCTTCAACTCCCTCGTTCCTCATTCCGATTCCCTTTTTCTCAAGATCGATTGTATCATTTCCTCCGATTCCGATTCCGATTCGGATTCCGGCCCTAACTCTCACCTCTTCAACTTCTTTAAATCTACCGTTAAATCCTTCTTCTATTTTATTTCCTCTATTCTCCTCAAATCCAAATTGCAGAAGTCTCCCGCGCAAATCCTCCGCCAGTTCTACTGGATCCAGCGCCTCCAGATCGAGTTTCCGACTAAAGATTTTGAAATTGAGAGAGTCGTTAAATGGAGAGCGGAGTTCGGTGATGCGCTTAGGAACTGTGTGATTTTGAGTTTTGAAAAGATTAGGAACTCCGATGGTCGAGAGGTGATGGAAGTGGATGGTGTTGATTTCGGTTTTGTCACAGGGATGAAAGCGAAAGTGCTCTGGATGATGGGCGCTCTGATGACGGCATCGGCGAGGCACCACGTGATGGCGGAGGTGGTGGTGGAGCATTTGGAGATGAAGAATCTGGTGTTGAGAGACAGGGGAGGGAATGGTGTGGTGGTGATGGAGGAGAATAGTTTAGAGGATTTTAGGAGATCGAGAATGTGCGGCGGCGGAGAGGCAGCGGGGAGGTGGCAGATGAGAACTAGGATACCGAGCACGACGGTGAGGATGAAGTACTGGCCGTTGCTGGAGATCCGGCAAGGGCTCTGTATGGAGGATGCTACGTTGGTGGTGGTGAGGCCCACTGGAAATGCCAGCATAGATGAATCTACTGACGTGGAGAAAGAAGACGCTGACTTGGCACTGAGCGCATTTGAAGATGATGATGTGTACACAAACGCCGTGGCAGCGTTATTGACGAAGGGTAAGAGGTTTCAGTTTGAGATAAACTCTTTCTAGATTTTCTTTTTTTTCTTTCTTTTGAAAAAATTGTAAATTTTAAAATTTCTGAGCTAAAAAAAACATATCAGTAATATGTTCATTTTCTTTTATTTTTTAAAAATCTTGTTTCTAATTTGTTCTGGACCACTTAGGGCTCTCTTTTAATTGGGCCTAATCGCCCAATACGACCCAATCTTTGGGCCTGTGAGCCCAATATGACCCAATCTTTGGGCCTAAGAGCCCAATACAAGAGAAGATTTTTTTATTTTATTTTTATGGATAAGTCACTTTTATTTATATTTTTCTTCACGGTCTCATAGGGAAACATGCCTCTACTTCTTAAGTACATAACTTGATAGGTTATGTCCCTCTCACGTGTTTGCCATTGTCGGTTAACCCAACTTCTTGAAAAGGCTTACAAGGAGACCTGTGGTACATTTATCTATATGATACCTACAGGAACTTCTCACGAGTAAGCTCGTGAGTCTTTAATCCTACTCAACATGAAAATTTAAACAATAAAGCATACGAGCAAGGCTGATCGAGAGAGGCTTCTCGAGCGAGACTTTACGAACGAGGCTTCAAATCATTCCATTAGAACCCATAGAAATTATTTGGAGAATAAAGAATAAAATATTGTGATTATTGATGATGAACACCATAGGGGATGAATGAGTATCATGGCATACCCTAAACCTAAATAGTTGACATAATTATTGTATCATGAAACAATACTCGTGGGGGGCTTCCTTTCACTTTTCCATTTCATATTATATTACTATTCCCCTTTATTTTTATTATAAAAAAATTGCACCCTTTAAATAAAAAATCTATTAAAATTGAGATATGGAATAACCATATGACATAGAATGACGTAATGGTGTTTGAGTCCCAACTTCCGTTCAACTTCACTCGCGTTGTTTCAAGTTTTAGTTTTGAAATGTTTATGAAATGTGGATATTGTAATTACATTTGAGTACGCCTAGTCCATTATCAATTTAAACATAATTCAACTGATTATATGATAGTATAATGTAACAACCTAAGTCCACCACTAGCAAATATTGTCATCTTTGGATTTTTCCTTTTGAGTTTCCCTTTTAAGGTTTTTAAAACGCATATATTATGAAGAAGGGTGTAGCTCTACTCCAAACAGTGTCTCACATCGTCTAAAGACTACCTTTGGTCGGAGTAGAGCTAGACTCTCTCCATAGTAGACTCATTTTAAAAACCTCGATGGAAAGCCATACTCCAAACAGTGTCTTGCACCGTCTGATGACTAGCTCTGGTAGGAGTAGGGTTAGACCCTTTTCATAGTAGCCGCGTTTTAAAAACCTTGAGGAAAAGAGGGGAAGCCCAGAAGGGAAAGCACAAAGATAACAATATCTGTTAGGGGTGGACTTAGGCCGTTACAAATGGTATCAGAGTCAGACACCGAGTGGTGTGCCAACGATGACACTGATCCCAAAGGGGAGGTGGATTATGAGACCCCACATTAGTCGGAGAGAAGGGAACCAAACATTTCTTGTTAAGGGTATGAAAACCTCTCCCTAGTAGAAGCGTTTTAAAATCATGAGACTTACGTAATGGGTCAAAACAGGCAATATTATAACTGTAACCGTAGACTTAGACGGTTACATATACTCTCGACCTAAAAGTTGGGGTAAACGAGGATTGTAATGGAAGAATTTGGAGATGGAGAAAAAAGTGAAGGGTGACTAAGAAAGCAACCACATTGTGAGACCCAAAAGAGATAAATGAAGTAAAGAATTGTTAAAAGAAATTAAATAAATAAATAAAAAAATAAAGAGAGAGGGAGAGATATGATGATAAAAAAGAAAAATCATAAATTAAAGGCTAAAAAAGTGAGCCAACCTGTCTTTAATATTTCCTTTTAAAACCCAAATTCATCACTCATCTTCTTCATCATCATCAATCCACAAATCATGAAATCCATGAAAACCAGAAATAATCCCAAACCCAAATCCATCGCTCCGCCGGCGGACCTTCTCGTCTGTTTTCCGGCGAGGGCCCGCCTTACCCTCCTCCCCAAACCCACCTGCAGTCCGGCCAGAGCATCGGCGGAACCCCACCGCCGCCACCAGAAGAAAGCTCCGCCGCTGTCTCAGTCTCAAGCAAGTCCTCTTCTATGGGCCAAGGAGCTGGCGTCGGAACCCACTTCGCCGAAGGTTACCTGCGCCGGCCAGATCAAAATTAAACCCCATGCTCGTCGGTCCACTAAGAACTGGCAATCTGTTATGGAAGAAATCGAACGAATTCATAAGAAAAAGAAAATACCCAATTGGGGAAACCAAATTCAAGATCAAAATCCGTTTGGTTTCAAGAGAGAAATCGTTAATTTCCTGTCGTGTTTACGAGGTTTCCGGTTTGATTTCCGTTGCTTCAAAGGCTTCCCTGAATCCGACGACATCACAACAGAGGAAGAAGAAGAAGAAGAAGAAGAAGAAGAATATGAATCCGACGCTGAATCCGAAGCTGAATACGAAGAAGAACCCACCGAAGCTACTTCGAAAAGAAGAACAATGTTCTCGAAATGGTTCATGGTTCTACAAAACGAAGAAGAAGAAGAAGAAGAAGAAGAAGAAACCAAACCCAGAAACGACACCGGCGAGCTGCAGCCTTGCTCTGTTCCGCCGCCAAATGCTCTGTTACTGATGCGTTGCAGGTCGGCGCCGTCAACCGGCTGGATTGAACGGAAACCAAAACAAGAACAACAAGAACAAGAACAAGAAGAAAAACAATCGAAAATCAGCTTGAAATTGTTAATGGAGGAGGAGAAGGAGGCGGTGGCTAAGAAGGAAAGCTTGGTGGTAATGGATTATGATGCTGATTTTTACAAGCTTTCATCTGATATTGCGAAAGAGACATGGGTCGTGAGTGGATCCAGTACTAGTAGATGTAATGATGACCCATTTCTGAGAAGCCGGAGCTGGAAGAGATGACGGCGGCGATGGCGGCGGCGACGAAGATCGGAGAAATTAATAAGAAACTCTGTGCTCTGTTTTCCCCTGTTTTTCCATGTTGTTTTCCAGTTTAAGGATGAAATTTGTTACGAAAACTGGGAAACCCAGATCGGATTGTTCATGATCTGATGTGGGTTTTGTTTATTTTGCTTGAATTTGTAAGAGAAGAACATGAATATGATGATGTACAGTGAAATTTTGAAATTTGATATCATTTTAGAATCAAAACAAAGCCATGAGTATTAACTTGAAAACTTCAATGATTTAAGCTCTGACAGTCTCATAAATCTGAGCAATTTTTGTTGTCATTTTGTTATAGAAATTTGGTTCCTAAGCTTGTTGTGGAATCTTAGATCTAATCTTCCAATTAAACAAAAATATCCTTTTGAATTCATGTTGTTTTTCTTCGTGTTCTTTCAACTCTTCGATCTTTACCCATGTAGCTCTAGTGGTAGAGCGTACCTCTAAAATACTCTTCAGCGCGTGATCCTAAGATGTGATTATCTAAGGCACATTAACATGGAGTATTTCTTCTGTTTGAAACCAAACTTCTCTTCGGAAAGATAGATAGGTCGATTCAGGTGAGATCCAATGTAGATCCAACTTTCTATTCACTCGTGGCATCTAGACCGTCGGATTAATTTATACTATCTAATTCAAACTATAAATGTTAGGTTAGATTACATATTTTTTATTTGCATTGAGTTAAATTTTTAAAAAATCGAAAATTTGGTTCGGTTTGCAAGTTGTCTATCGAACCACCTACAAACAAAGTTGCAATCCAACCCATTACTCATCTACCCTACCCCTAAAAAGATTAAGAACATTTAATATTTTTAATGATATTAGTGATGATCTTTTAAATTTTATAAGATTTTAGTTATTAACTAAGATGACATCAATAAGGAGAATTTTTTAAAATAAATAATAAGTAAATAAACAAATTACGACTCGACCCTAACCCAACCTGAATATAGGTTTGGTTGTAAACTCTATTTCTGTTGCTCGGGTCACCAACCTATTGGATTAATTCACAAGTATTTTTCAATCCAATTTGTGTATATCCTAGTTATGACGTGGATGTTGGCTATGTTTTATTATTTTAAAAATAAACCTTCCGTTATTTGTATAATTTTTTAGTTCAACAACTTTAAAAAGATAAAGATGAACAATAATGTTGAATTAAATTATATTGATTGAGCTTCTTACAAGGATCGAAGGTGAGTCCTTGCACCTTGCTTGCAAATAATACTTTCTGTATTAATGATGACTACAGCACATATAGAAACATTATTATTAAATATTTAATAATATAGATATAAATAATAATGGTAATCAATACTCATGACTTCTTTTAGAAATGTTATTTTTTTACTAAACATAAATATTTTCTACCAATATTCATATATATTTGATTTGATTGAGAAATGAAAAAAAAAAAAAAAAAAAGACGAGTAATTGTGCTACACTTAGTTTACTAGAATTTGGACCGTCGTTGACACAGACGATGTGTGGAATCCCACATAGTTGGAGAGGGGAATAAGTATTTTCTATAAGATTGTAGAAACCTCTTTTAATATACATATTTTAAAATTGTGAAATTGACAATAAATATGTAATGGACTAAAGCGGACATTATATTCTTCTCTAAATAAAAAAAATGGGGTTTGGAGGTAATAATTAGGGATGAATTATGATTATGCCCACTCCCATTACACCTCTAATAATGATTATCCCTTTTAATTTGGCTTTAATTTCTGCTCTCAAATCACCATTGTCCTTTGCATCCCCCATTTTCATATTTTCAACATAATCATCATTTTTAAATAATTAAATCAAACTAAAACTAAAAATATTTAATATTTAATATTTCGAACCAGGTGTGTTTAATACATTATTTAATTTAAATAATGTGAAATGAATCCCCTTAATGTATTAAAATGTATCCACTAAAAAAACATTTTCACGTATAAGAACTATTTCGTTCTTCTTTACAAACTATATGAGATCTCACCCCTATTGAACTAAAAAAAATAGATCTATAAATTTTACAAATACCCGGTAGAGCACGGATCTCTCAAAAAAAGAGAAAATTTAAAAATCTACTTCATACTATTTTAATTTTGATTTCCTTTTAAAACAATTATGACGCTATTTGTAATCGCCCAAACTTACTACTACTAGATATTTTTCAGTTTAGCCGTTACTTGTTACGTATCACTGTCAACCTCACGATTTTTCCCTCTCCAACCGATGAAGATCTAACAACCCTGTGGTTTCATTCCTTCTTACTTGACTTCTGATGCAACCCAACCCAACCCGAATGGAAAGAAAGATGGTTAACCAAACAATAGTCCATCCCTGAAGATAATCAAATTAAATTAAGTTCTAAAATGTCATCAAATTTCATTGGCAAATGGCAGATAAAAGGTTTGGCATATGAAGATTTTCCAAAGACAAGAAGAAGAAAAATGATAAAAATACATTTCAGCACCATAGGCAAAATCAATTAATGAATATAATGATAAATAAATGAACCTCAAAAGCTGGAAGTAAAATAGGCGAAGACAACCAACCAAGATAAAACTGAGCTACTACTAGACACAGATACAGATACAGACATACACACAACCAAGAACAAAAACATTATGGACGCACAACCCAATTAGCAGACTCCATAGTTGTTGTTGACTCACAAAGTTAAACCTAACAACATATTTCACCCAAACCAGATCACAATTTCCATAATCTAAAAGTATTGAGTTTTGTTAGAAACCTCGATGATTTAGACCAAGGCAATGCTGCTCTCGCCACCCGGGGGTTTGCGTACCCCGCCTAAGTAGTCTCGGGCCTCTACCTTCCCGTCTGCAAATATGTCACTCCCACTCATCTCTCGCAACTTTGCCATGCTCAACGGTTTCTCTGTTGACGATGGAGGAACGTCACCTTTGAAGATGTCGTTTCCTGATAACTCCGAAAATTTCTTATCATAAATCTTCTTTGCTGTTTTTACAGAAGGTTCTTCTCCGGGGATCACACATCTCTGTGTTTGATCAGATTAGTTGGAACATGAACACACCGATGTTAGAGTTAGATCGAAATAAAGCTCAAGGTGATGACCAACAGACTCATATGCAAAGAAGAATAGACTTGGAAGAAAAAGTAAACTAAAAAACTACTAACCAAAGCCATATCAGGCTATCAAATGGGGGCATATGATTAATCAGTCAGAAAAGCAACCTCACGTTGAGCAATTAATTAGTGATGATTGCATGTATATTTAACTTCTTGGAACCTTAGGATTTCATCATTGTGAGCTTGTGGCCTCACTAAAAAGAATATGATGAAAACGAACGAAGAGAAATTAGTGGATGCACGTATACTAACCAACTAAAATCCTAGGATTTCATCATTGTTTGCCTCTGACACCATCATTTCTGATGCAAACGAAAGATTTAGGTCACCACTCAACCCAAAAATCACAATATGGGATTCAAACATATAACCTCCTTCTCCTTCTCTAATATCATCCTTCTCTAATAAGTTACGATAATAATTATGTCAATACTTTAACATGATGCACCATTCTTCTATACACGGCTTCTCGAACCATAACAAGAGAACATCATAGTAAGGCCCTTTTTTGATAACTATTTGGTTTATGATTTTCGGTTGTTGAAAATTGTGCTAGTTTTCCCACCACTTCTTTACCATAATTTTCATCCTTGAAAACATTTGAATTCTTAGCCAGATTCCAAATTCCAAAAAACAAGTTTTTAGAACCTACTTTCATTAAAGCACCATTTGATAAGGTCTTTGTTATCTATTTTTGAATATTATGCTTGTTGCTTTATCCTTTTTGGGAAGACTTATCACCTCCCTTGAAAATACATTTGAATTCTAAGTCAAATTTCAAAAACAAAATCAAGTTTGTAAGAACTATTTCTTTTAGTTTTCCAACATTGGCCTGATTTTTTAAAACATTCTTTAAAAAGTAGGCAAGAAAGTAGTGCATATAAGTTTAATTTTCAAAAAAATGGAAGATCAAGAACAAAATGGTTATCAAACAGGAGATCCTCGATTTAGATTTTAAAACATTTGTATAAGGTAGGTAAAGAAACAAAGAAATGCACTTAATTTCTAGGCCAAATGAGTGAATGGCGTTTGTGGGTGTGCCTTCGTAATGGATGTGTTTGAATTAAGAGGTTGTAGAATTGAGTGGAGAACTACTTACATCATCAGGCTCCCCAATCTCGATGCTTCCTTTTAAATCCAAAGTGCGAGCAGTTGTAGGTCGAGGCAAAATCTCAGGAGGAGGAGCGAATATGCCATGTCCACTAAGCTCCTGGTACTTAGCATCAGAGAGCTGCTTCTTCAGCTTCTCATCGGCATCGCTTACTAAGTTCCCGCTCAACTCACGCTGCTTCGCAACCTCAGGTAGAGTAGTAGGCTTTTTAGGAGAAACACCACCTTCTTCACCGAATGAAATATGACTAATTCCAGCCAGTGTTTGCTACAATTTGATCGACCCGTCAAGATTAGGAGTTTAATTGCATTCAAACCAAACAGAAACTCGCTTACAGTCAGTTGAAACTGCATTAAGTGATCTTCTGCGATGGATACCTGGTACATGCGTATTCCTGTTTTACTCTGTGAAGGGTTGGCGCTTCCAGATTCTTGCTCATCATCTCCTTCGTTACCAACAAAAATGCCACTGCCAGTCATCTCCTTCATTTTATATCCAGAGCAGGGTTTCCTACAGTTTGAAAATCGAACAATTGAAGCGATTGACATAGAAGTCAAACTAAGAAACTCCACAAATTTGAAGATCTGATGCATAGCGGACCGGCAAACGGAACTTGATATTTCTTTTTCTCTTTAATCCATATTACATACTAAAATCAAGTGGTGGGAGAAGAAGAGAAAATGCTCATATACTTTTCTAAATTGCCTTGGAAACACAGAAAGGATTACAAATTTGAGATCCAATCATGAGTAATTTGAAACAAAACAAGCAGATCGAACACAAGGAAACAGTGTAATCGAAACAGAATAAGCTTCACATAATGAAGATTGGAAAGAAAAGAGGCAAACTTAGATCTCACCTTTTGTTCAAGCTCTCAACCTCCTCGTCGGTAACCTGGCCTCCAAAGACGACCTTGCTGATTCCATCGGAGGGCTAGAGAGACGCAAAAGAAAGAGAATAAGCAGAAGAAACAAGAAAAAAGATAGAAATGCAGAAAGTATACCTGATGAGACCTGGGAGCGGAGCGAGAAGCAGACGAAGGAAAGGCCGGGGAATCGGCGGGAGGAAGTTCAGGCCATGTGAGGAGATCTGCAGTGGAGGTGTGAGGCTTCCGAACAGGAGTGGCTCTGTCCATTGGAGAAGAAAGGAATTAGGATTTGCAGAGGCCAAAGAGAGATTGATGAAGAAATGAAGAACTGAAGAAATGGAAGTTTGAGTAGAGAAGCTTCGATTGGTGTTTGTTAATGGCGAAAACGAAGAAGAAGAAGAAGGAAGTGCTTTGCGAGAGAGACACAGTGCTAATGTGCCGTGGAAGCACAGAGATTTTCTCAACTCAAATGACCGAAATGCCCTCATGATCTGGAAGCTTCTTTTTTTTTTTCTTTTTTTCTTTTTTTTTTAAAAATTTATTTTTACTCTTTCTCTCTGTAAAGTATATTAAAGCCCTTTAAATATTTGAATTTCGAAGCGCCATTTCCATTTATAATGTGAAACTTAAATTCCAATGGCTCGCACGTGCCACCAAGATGACTGTTCCTCGTTTTTTGCAAATAACCCCCTCCTTCTTTATTAATTTACTCTATTTAGCCCTCCAATTATTTTTTTAAAAAAATTAATCGATTTTCAAATTTTTAACCAAAAAAAAAGGGCAAATATTCAAATCATTAAGTTATTAGGTCAATAATAATAATAATAATAATAATAATAATTTTATTCTATATATTAATATAGAGATTTGAACATCTGACCTCAAGAGAAAAAATACATGTCAATTAGTTATCTTAAATTTACTTAGCTGAAAATATAAAATTGATGATGATAGTTAAAAGATGTGAATTCTCGATAGGGAATTCACTGTTGGTGTGTAACCTTGATCTAGGGTTTCACTCCTTCTCGAGAATATCGATACCAATTGATGCAACAAATTTTAGGTTAAACTAAATTTTTGGGCAAAAAATGAGAATTCGTCCCTTTGAACAGATAAAATACTCGAGTTTTATATTCAAAATAATTCCCAGAAACACCTAATCGGAGCGTAGATGAGCGAGCAGTGGTGGACGATGCGAAAAACAAGATAATAACTAATATTAACTGAATTAGACCACTATTAACCTCGCTAATAGATCCTAACAATATTTTTTTAAGGATTTAAAGGACTAAATTTAAGATTTATTTGAGAAAATTAAAAAATAAGTCCAATTGTTAATTATTTAATTTTGTTTGTTTTATCGTATTTTCTTCCCACGATTATAATATTTCTGAAAAACATATTTCTGTCTTTAATATTTCTTAAAAATATATTTCAGTCTAATTTTTTAAATATTAATATTAAAATCCAACCGATTTTCAAGCAATTTTAAAAATTTATCTCGATAAAAATCGGAATTAACTCCTATCAATACTAGAAAAGATGAACTTACTTAAAAAATATCTAAATCGTAATTGGAATTATAGACCGCACATTAGAAATGACATCATATGTAATATACTTCAAATAGATGCACAAACTATTCTCGAAAACATCCGACCTATATGAGAGTCAAGTCGTCCAACACTAGGTGAGATCAATGGACAACCAACTAATGATCGCACTATACTAAAAAGCTTCGATGGTCACCAAGCTTCTCGAGCTAACTCATTTTTACTCGAGTGGCAGAAATTAGACCTAATACAATTCCAAATAGAAAAGTTTCAGTCATTCAATTTAGTTGAATGAGAAAAAGAAAAGGTAATACCATCCTTAAAATATCAATCAATCCATGAATCTCAATGAAAATCATTTGATCTTAATTCGAAAGTGATCGATCGGCTCATGAATCTCAACAACAAACTTCATCCATTATCGTATCTAAATCAATCAATCAAATGTACGAGATTATATCTATCAACCCATGAATCTCAATGACCAAGAATTGTAAATTGAACCAATTTGAAAGTGATGAATACGGATCCAAAATATCAATCGGCTCATGAATCTCAACGACAAACTTCATCCATAATCAATCAATCAATCAAACCTATGATAGGAAAAAATAAATAGCTACAAAATATGTGATGAACAGTGATCCAAAAAGACAGATACAATGCAGAAGAATCAATTCATAATCATTATACATCTAAGGAGGTAAAAACCAAACACTGGGAAGACTCTTACTTTGCATGTTAAATAGTACAGAAACTACATTGAAATCTAAAAAGAAAAAAGAACTCATAAGCTAATTAGGAACAGGATCCTACATGTCTCTATCTTGACATCCAACCAATCCTTGAAGTATAAAGGCAGATACAATTGTGCAAAATATCCCCCCCGGGATGCCATGCTTGTTTTCCATCATAAAATGCATAGATAATTTCTAAAACCCAACGCTATGGCATGTATAGATCATTCATTCCTGCAGGCATATTTTGGCTATCACTAACCAGACCACAAATCATGCTTGAAAAGAACATTAGCAATAAGCATGGTAGGTTTACTCACATCAGCATCGGATTTAGCAGGAGATGGACTTCGAGAATCAACTGGTTTGTCATCCGGTGAGCCATTGTCTCGCCTTGGTGAATGCTCCTCATCGCTTCTACCCCTAGATGGTGGCGTCCTACGTGGAGATATGCTTCTCCGAGTATCAGGGGAATGTCGGGCAGGCGACATGCTTCAGTATAGAACCCATTTCTAATTAGAGTACAGACCAATATATATATATGGAAAGTATTACATTGGATGATTATGAGGACCTTGTCCGGTTCATGGCAATGTGAGATGTAAAAATGTGTTTGGATGGGCTTCAGAAACTAAAAATAGAATTCAGAAAACATTTTTATTTTCAAACAAGGTTAAAAAATAGTTGTAACAATTTAGTCTCTAATGAAAAAAGTACTACTAAGATTTAATGAAACTTCTTGCCCATGTAGATAGATCTATAAGATTTCTCATGATTGGGACAAAATGTTACAAATTTGAAAGTATATGGACTAAATTGTTACAAATTTAAAAGCTTGAAAACAAAAATAGTAACAAGCTTAAGTCCAGGGACTAAATTGTTATTTTAATGAAAGTTCAGCCCGAAACAGCTTGCACACAGTAATCTAAACTTTTTTTAATGGTTTTGCAAACATACCCTCTTCACCATTAGAACATAGCAGAATAAAATGTGAGTAAAACAGGAAAAGGCCACCTCTACGGCTCCACCCATCCTCTTGCCCATGCAAATGCAACTAAATGGCTACAATTTCCAGCTAAAAACATTACTATTGTGCAAGTACCAGAGTAAGTGCTGCAAAACCTTAAAATGATGGTAACTAGTACACTAAGAAGCACGGACGCAGGACGATCAAAACATGTCAATTTCTAAAAAATAGGATGCATACACATGGGGGACACATTTTTTTTATAATAAAATATATGTGTACATATTGATAAATTAACATTGCTTTATAAATGAAACAAGTAAATATAAAATAAAAACAGAATACATTTCACTAAAAATATACCAAGTTAAGCCAATTAACGGTGTTTGAGAACTTAAAAGATATAGAAAATTTTGGTTGGCTATGACCAGAGGAAGAAGTTGTCATTCAAATACTTCAGGATTGATCAATATAATAAAGATTCAACCTATAAGAAGATCTCTCTCTTTTTCTCCTAATCTTAAGTTCAATATTTTTCAAAGGCGCATCCATCCATGTCCATACATGTTTTAGTATTCTGGACATGTGTCCGGAGCGTGTCCAAATGTATCCGTGTCTGACACGGACATTTTTCCTAAAACGAAATGTTTGTGCTTCCTAGCTAGTACCAATGCCATGACCAAGGCCTTATGACAATATCCCACAAAAGAGTAATAAAATTAAGAATGTATGCGTACCTTCTATCAGAGTGGCTAGCACTACGCCGTTCAACATCATCTCTTCCCCGCCGACGATCTTTAATACGATCAGGACTAGCACTACGACTTCGGCTACGATAGCGTTCTCTCTCACTTCTGTGGGGTCTATCACGATCATGTCTCTCACGGCTTCTACTGCGACTTCTTCTCCTATAATCTCTATCCCTATAGTCATCGCGGTGCCTGAAATGTTTTTGGAACCATATGAGAAAGGTAGAATAGCAACAGTGAGATTACAATCAATTGCCTAAAAGGGTCAGAACTTCCATTTAAGTGAAGCCTTGCTAACCATCCGTTCCTTATCCCATAAGATTTTGTCAACACCAGTAGTTAATCAAATACAAGTTCATAACAAATCTAAGATAGCTTCATAGAATGATTGGTGACACCTCAAAAAATAATGAAAAAAAATAAGAAAAGCAAATAACTACGTGATTTTCAATATATTTCTTCAAGCTTAGAATGCCCATTTGATATCCACCATCTCGCGCCCATTCACATATCAAACTAGTTCAGGAAAGACTGCAATCCACCAGTCTAAAACATTCAAAAACAGCTACTTTCAGCTCTTTCTGTTTATATCTTCTCTGCAATCCACAGAATCTATGACATGGATTCAAGATACTAATGACCGACGATGTATTACCACTAAACTTAGGTAGGTGAAATAAAGAGGTGAGGCCAGATGTGAACATACACGATAGACTTTCTAGAATTGCCTAATTGCATAATGCAACATACACTATAAAACACTGAGATTGCAGCACTCCATGCATCAGACGTTAAATAAAGGAGTAATTACAAATCATATCCTCATAGTTTGCCTATTTTGCAAAATGCCTGTCTTAATCAAGAAATCATGTCCTTATGTTAAAGTTTACCATTAACTAAATTAACACGCATAGCTAGTTCTACCTCTAACCATATACACCAATTCTACTAAAACAGAGAACGTGTAACAGTTCAACCCCACTGCAAGCAGATATTGTCCTTTTTGGGTTTTTCCTTTCGGACTTCTCCTTAAGGTTTTTAGAATGAGTTAGGAAGAGGTTTCCACACCCTTATAAAGAGTGTTTAGTTCTCTTCCCTAACCAATGTGGGATCTCACAGAACGGATGTAAGTCAAGAAAATTGCATCCATAACCATAGAAGACTGCATTACCTCTCACTCTAAATGATTGAATTTTTGTTTTGATTCATAAATAAATGAGGGTAATTACCTCGAGAAAATATAAAATTCTTCACCAGAGCTCTGATACGAGTTCAGATGCATTTAGACAAGGACTCTCACCTTGGACGTGGACTGCGGCTCCTTGACCTGCCCCTTGCCTTGGATGATGACTCCATCACCTTCCCCTTGCGACTGATTAACAACCAAAACTCAGGAATCAATCAAAGCATACTTCGAGCCATGGACGTGGAGTAT